CTAAACTAAAATGAGCTTAACAATGAACAGAATTGATGTTATAATTTTTCTTTTTCTTTCTTTCATCTTTTGATGGCTCTTTTACTAAGACATAAAACTTGCAAAATGCAACAGAATGGTGAAAAGTGAAATAAAATAAATGCAACATGTATAGTTACTCCCTGAAAAAAGTATCACTATTATCATGATTATTTATAATAATACTCTTAATAGGATTATAGTGAGATACTCTTACCTAGTGCTTTTACCAAAATATTAAACTTATAAGCTATGACATCTTTCTAAACATGAACTCTAAATATTTTAAGATTTAATTTCTATTTGTAATATCTAAAGGTTACCTTTGATTTATTTTCTCTTCTATTTGAGCTCTAAAATAAACATTAGCAAGTGAATATATTTCTATTGATAGGCTCCTGTTTCAAAAGTACTACTACTAGCAAAAAAAATTTTGTAGTGTTTTATTCTAATCCAACTTAAGTTTTGAAACAACACTGTACCTCTGGCTGCTACAGCTGCTGGTTACTTGACCACGAGTGTCATACCCAACGACAAGACCTCTCTGCTTAAAGTCCGAGAAACATTTCTCAAGGTATTTGTACATTCCCTGAAGCAAATAAACACAAAAGATTGGTTATTTCCTGATGAATGCTTGAAGTTTATAATAGTTAAAATCTCTTTATGTTTCATATGGGCTCCTAGTGAACTAGTTTCTGCCTTTACACTCACATTTGCTAATGTGGGAGCAATACCACGCAATCCACAAACATGAGATGACAAATATTTCCTGGATTTTCAGACACATTTTAATTAGCATCAGTTTGGTAACCATTAAACCCATACAATAAATAACACATGGGGGCAAAAAAGATGAGACACAGGAGTCAGTAAGCTAAAAAAAAATTGTTAGAAGACCCAAAGGAAATTGTTTCTTGCTTCGAGGCTCTAGAGAGCAGAATTTCAACCCTTGCTAAATTATAAAATTGAAACTAATCAGAAGATCTGATCTATTTAGGACAAATATTTTAAATCAGCAACATAGTTCTTCACTGGAGCACTTCTTAAGATGGGTGGTACCATTTATAATTCCTTAGTTTTAAAATCTTACAAGGAAAAAAAACCACAGACTAAGAAAATTTGCAGTCAAGGGTCACAAAATAAAATGAAGTATTTCATATTGAAAACATAAAAATGATAAAACCATTTTAACTATCTTGGGAACAATTTGCTAACTTTAATAAACACTTTTACTTCTAAAAATAACACTTCAGGGCCAGGGATTTTGATCCCTGGTACCCTCCCAAAAACCATAAAACCAAAACAAAACAAATAAACACTTCATAGTGTTACAGTCATTTAGAATTGCTTCTGCAAAATGAGATGGGAAATTTAATCCTTATAATACCTTGAAAAAAATGCAAATACTATTTTGACTCTCTTTTTTCTTTTAAAAATGAGGAGATAGAATAAGAATGTCCATGTAAAGCTCAATGTAATAAGTTACTCAAGGCCATTAATTTAATTAAAATTAAGTTATTCTGGCTTATTGAAGACCTACTCAGTGACTTCCAATACACAATTTAAGTGTAATTTTTTTTTTTTTGGTACAGGGGATCGAACTTGGGACCTTGTGGTTGTGAGGCAGGCGGTGGAAACACTGAGCTAAATCCCCAGCCCTTCAAGTGTAATTATTTCTCCTAAACTACTCTATATGAGAGATAGAAAGACAGAGATTAATATATCCCAAATAGGCTAGTTTCACCACTTGTTCTAATGATAATATTAACCTAAAGCCTGACGGATCCTCATATTATTGTCTGCTATGAGAATCCATCTTATCTTTAGATAGTCCTTTATATCTAGAGTTTGAATGGTTAAGGCTTAAGAATCAGATTCTATCTGGCTTTTCTTATGAGGGAACTCAGTATACATAAAAGACTGAACTAAAAACGTTTCTGGTTGAGGAGTAGAAAGGAGATGGGGAGGGCGTGGGTAGGAAAGGTGGCATATATCCAACCTATCTCAGCCATCTGTTTATTTCATCTCCTCCATCCCCCACGTTAAGCTTTGGCTTTAGAGAATTTTCTTAGAACAGGGCTAAAGGTAACTTACTGTTTGGTAGTATTGATTAGAGTTACAGTATAATTGTAATCAATATGTCATAACTCTCATCAATACTCATTATGGTATAACTCTAATCTATGGTATAGAACACTAAGGTATTCTATAAACCAGAATTATGTTTAGTATATGCTAAATTCATTACTGGCCTCAAAAGTGTAGTTTCTTGAAACAGTGAGGGTGATTCACTGGGAAGAGAAGCCATTTGTTTCTAAAATGAGGTGCATAGTGCTTGCTTCGGCAGCACATACACTAAAATGAGGTACATAAAAATGAAAAGAAATAAAACAAATTGTATCATGTTATACAATTGTATTTAAAAAACTCTCAAATGGATATGGAAAATCATGTTTAAATAAAATACTTTCAACTAAATTTGCCAAATACTCTCGTTGATCTTTACAAATGGCCATATACCAACATGTGTAATTATCTTCTTTCTAAAAGTAACAACACTCAAAAAGTTAACAATGGCAACTAAAATAACTATTAATTGAAGAATTACTCTGCGACCTTGAAGATATATAAATGACTTCTAAGATAAATCTCAGGAAAGTCCAAAAGTCAGAATTTGGTCAACATTTTATATGAGAATACCTTCCTGAACAAAAGACAGAAAGGGAAGAAAGGCACTGCCTAGCACAGCCAAATAAAAAGTGAAAAATTACACACATAATAGTTTATAATATTTACCTGTGTTGATTGTATTACTGTAAGATCATTAATATAGCAAAACCCTGCTCCCATAGCAGAACGAAGGCCTGCAGTCCCAAAAGTCATTCGGCAACAAAGGCGATCTCTCAATTCCTTGTTCATCCCATTCCGTAACAGATTTTCAATCTGTTCTTTCGTTTTGGGATTCTATTAAAAAAGAAGTTAAAGTTTATTCAAGATTACAGAGTCCTAACATCAAGCTTTTCTGGGGGCTATTATCCACACATCACAAGGTTCTACATTCACTATAAATTCCACAGTGCTATTCATATTAGTATGAATAGCTGAGGATTTACCTCAGTAGCACAGCACCTGCCTCGCAAGAACAAGGTCCCAAATTCAATCCCCGGTACCCCAAAAAAAAGAATATTAGTGTGAATAATAAAAACAATACCTGCCATTTATTGAGTCCTCAAAGGAGCCAGGCCCTATTGAGGGTGATTTACATACAACTAATTTTTATAGCATTTTAAAATAATATAATCAAGAATGTTCTTTTTAACAATTTAATTAATATAAGAGCTACGGATCGAAAATAAACTTAGGCAAAATGATGTCAATTGGAAGCTGTGGATAAATGCCATCAAAACATGCCTAACTGCCTACCTAAAGCTCTGCAAATCAAATGACCAGATAAACCTTACTTACTATTTAAGATCACAGAAAACTGTGTAACTTATTACAATACAAACTGACCATAAAAAGTCTTAGGTATCAAGTGTGTCATGCTGGATTTTCATTAGAATCTAAACATGGCTGGAGAGGCATGGCATACCAACATCCATATTTTAATTTTCTGTATTTCATTAGCATGTACTTTTACTTATCTTCATAAATCTTAAGGATATTTATGACTCAGGGTTTTGCAAAAAAGTAGATTTGAGGCTGGAGGTGTAGCTCAGTGGTAGAAATATACTTAGCATATATCAGGCCCTGCAATTCCCAGCACCAAAAAATAAGAATACAAAAGAGTAACAGATTTCAAATAGAAATGAAATTACAATAAAACTTAGATGCAATTTTCCATTATTTTCTTTTTAGAAGAGTCAAATATTAAGAAAATAAGGTGAAACACAACTTCTTTCCTTAAGGTTAGTATGGATTGAGTCTATATTATTTACATTTTCTATATATATAGCCTATGTAATGATAATGAATATTGGAATTGTAAACCAAGACATCCAAAAGGTATTAAATATTAGAGTATATTTGTACTTGCAAAGGGATAAAAATATACTAATATAAAATTAAAGCAAAAGTTTTCTGCTTTTAGTGAAAATTAAAGTAACCAGACTACATGCCCAAACTAGTGAGAAGATATGAAAATTTTTTTGACTAACTGGAATTTTAATCTATTTAAATTTTTTTTTTTTTTTGGTACCAGGGATCAGACTCAGGACCTTGCCCTTTCAAGGCAGGTGGTGGCACCACTCAGCTAAATCCCTGGCCCCTAATCTGTTTAAAATTGATGGATATTAAAAAAATATATAGGTAACTTAGACTCAAAGAATTTCTGTCTTATGAATGGAATATATTAACAACTATACAGCTTATATAAAAATATGAGTAATTATTAAGAGAAAAATATAAACACTATCGGGGTTACTAGCATATTATTCCAATGTCTAAGATATCATCACATTTTATACAGAGGTCGAAGAGACTTGGAGAAGGTGAACATTCCAAGATATGAATAAGAAAAGCAAAAATTCAATAGATTTTTCATGTGTACAGGGTACATGGATGGCACTGCCATACAGTTAGTAGAACTGCAAAATGGGATCATCTTTTCAGGGTGATTGTGTAGCAACGTATCTAATTTTAAACTGCAAAAAAATTTCTTTTTAACTGCATAAGGCTTTTGGCTCAAGGATTTTTTCTGTTCATAGTTGTATCTTCACACAAACTAAGATATCTATACAAGAATATTCATTGCAAGATTCTGGTTGGTATTGTTAATATTACCATTGTATAAAAACTAAGATTTACAGAGAGCCTCATAATACTGAGCTAACACTGAAGACTTAAACAGGTTTTGAACCTGAGTTGGTCTGGCTTAAGATCTATACTATCTCACTAAAAACAAAATAATGGTATGAAGCAGGTTAATAATGCTTCTAATGTAATTTAAGTCCAGCTATAAAGTAAAACAATATTCATTTTTATTATAGCAATATAAATATAAAATGGTCTATCAGACATAAATGCTACGGGCTTAAAGAGTACTACACAGCTACAAGAGTAGGGCCCAAAAAATTCCATTTCTTACTACAAACTTCATAACCAGTATTTACTTAATTCTTGGCTCTTGAAAAGCTTATAAGTTAGATAAACATAAAAATGTTTAAAGAATCATGATATAGTAAACATAGTAAGTAAATTTATAGTAAAAAGCTAAATGATTATGAGACATTTGAAATCTACTTTAAATTCAGATTTCTCTAATGATAAACTGTACTAGCTAGACATTGTAATTATATGTCATTACAAACTCTAAAAATCTTTAAAAACTATGTAGCTATAATATTTTCCATTTTGTATTTTGTTGATAAAGTCTTTAAATCACTGATTTTAATACATTGTAACATATGAAGACCTAAAAGAACTATAAGCAAATTATTTAATTTTATTGTTTTGCCTTGTTTTTTGAGACAAGGTCTTGCTATGTAATTCAGGCTGTCTTGAGCTCACTATATACCCTACGCTGGCCTCGAACTCACAACAATCCTCCTGCCTCAGCCTCCTGAGTGCTAGGATTAGAGGTGTGCACCACTACACCCGGCAAACAAATTATTTTAAAATGCAATTTCCATGTAGAACTCAGATACAGTAAAAGAAAAGGTAAGAGAGTATATTGTTATAATTTGCATGAAAAGAGGTATATGTATTTATATACTCTCCAGAAATATTCCATGCAAAAAAAGACGCTAAAAATAATGATCATTTCTGAAGGGAATATCAGAAACAAGGTTTAAGGTAGAAAGTGACTTAGTTTGTTTTACAGTCATGATACTGTTTGGATAGTTTATGTACATATTATTCATTTTTATGGTAAAAACTGGCTAGGTATTCATAATGGCTGTGAAAAATCACTATTTATATCTATGTGAATACTTTTTACCTATAAATTAGCCCCCTTTTCTGCTCACAGAAAGCTATTAATATGGTCTGAATAATATGGAGCTTTTTCAAATACAAATTATTGTTTGCTATTTAATATGTTTATTCA